TCCATCATGGACGCGATATGGGTCGACATCTTCCGGACTCAGAGAGTCATCGCCCGGGCTGTCCTGGAGGTGAAGCTCCTCAACCGCCACCTGGCGGAGATCCAGACTCGGTACGACCACGCCCGGGAGATGAAGCTGTCCATGTGGGTGTACAAGTTGAGGATGAGGACGTTGACGGTGGAGGGGGTGAAGAACGTCTTCGTGCACTTTCTGGATGAGCAGGAACAGAAGTTGGATGAGCTCATCGAACAGCAATACGCTATGGCCATGGAAGACTGGGATAGACGTGTGGTAGACGTTCTCCTAGCGGGGGAAACAGACGACGAGTGGGACACTGACTCCAGCTTTCACGGAGCAGATGAGGAACTGGCTTGAATCTGCGTTATTCAGACTCTCATTGACTACATTACATAATATATATTGTACCGTGCTCTGTGTGTGTGTGCGTGTGTGTTTACCTTTCGGCTTATTAAATGTTCAAATAACCTAGGTTCGTTCTTTAATTAACGACAAAATACTCCTTTGACACGTAAACATCCAGGTTAGAATTGGTCTTCAGCAACCATTGCTTGTCGACTAACAGGATCTCGTAGTCAGGCTCGCTGACATGGCTGACTCACGGCATAGTATCCCATTTGCGTAAGTCGATGTTCATTGTGCTGATCACTGGATTGTCTGGTCCAGACTCGTTTATTTACAACCCACGGCCATACAGCTGGAATATTGCAGACACAACACAGATACCCGAGGGGCGGTGTGGAAACCGTGTGGTTAAAACGTTCGATTGTCACGCCGAAGACCCGGGTTCGATTCCATACATGAGTACAATGTGTGAAGACCATTTCTGAAGGCACCAATCCGTGATAATTTTTTGGAATTTTGATAAAAGCGGAGTAAAACCATACACACTCACAAATATACTAGTCTACTGACAATTGGAACAGGCTAGCTGTACTACTCTTACTGCACACACACACACACACACACACACACACACACATATATATATATATATATATACGCACAAAATGTCCAAAATAGTACAGGTGTTCAGTCATAAATATTACATAGATAAATAAAAACAGAAAGCCTTTTTCTCCAACATGTTTCGTTCTTTACTCTTCAGGGAGATTGTAGCGGTTACAGTATGACGTCATTACATATATATTGTGACGTCACAATAGGGACAACATTCTAGAGCGACATGGTCACAGCTTGCAATGGTTTAACATTGGTTTGAACATGTCTATGAAGAAGTGTTCTTTTAAAATTCGTTTTACTTTGTCCGAATTTTGAACTTGATAAAAAGGAAATATTGTAAATTTAACATCGTTTCCTTTCGCACAGATATCTAGATGTTCACTCAGTGGGATACATCAGGTTTCAGGTAAAGAACGAAACATGTTGTTTTTATTTATCTATGTAATATAGAATATAGATATAGATATAGATATATATATATAGATAGATATATATAGATATATATATATATATATATATATATATATATATATATATATATATACGCACAAAATGTCCAAAGTAGTACAGGTGTTCAGTCATAAATATTGCATAGATAAATAAAAACAGAATGCCTTTTTCTCCAACATGTTTCGTTCTTTACTCTTCAGGGAGATTGTAGCGGTTACAGTATGACGTCATTACATATATATTGTGACGTCATAATAGGGACAACATTCTAGAGCGACAAGGTCACAGCTTGCAATGGTTTAACATTGGTTTGTACTTGTCTATGAAGTAGTGTTCTTTTTAATATTCGTTTTACTTTGTCCGAATTTGAACTTGATAAAAGGAAATATTGTAAATTTAACATCGTTTCTTTTTCGCACAGACATCTAGATGTTCACCTTCTCAGTGGAATACATCGGGTTTCAGGACACTTTATTTGTTGTTTGTGGGACACGAACCCGGGCTCTTAAATTTTCTGATTGACCAATATACTGTTCATTACAGCCTGTGCATGTTATGACATATATTATGTTTTGCAAGAGCAGTCAAAATTCTGTTTTACATAGAATTCTCCGTGTCTCGTGAAAGTTACAGAGTGTCCTTCAACAATATGTCGACACGTTCCACAGTTACCTCTGTTGCATCTAGACACAGTAGGATTTGATAAATTCTGTTTCTTTGAAATAAATTTGGCTTTTGTTAGTATCTTTTTAAGATTCTGATTTTGTCTTTTGCTATTTATTATTTTTCTAGATTTCAGCATAGATTTCAGTTTTTCATCTTGTTCTAAGATGCACATATTTGTTTTTATGTTCTGGAACACATTTGGGTTCAATGGATTATAAGTAGATACAAAAGCAATTACTTTTTCCTCATTGGTTTGTTTCATCGTTCCTGTCAAAAGATCGTCTCTATTAAGCTGTAAAGCTTTATATATTCCGTCTTCAACAAGAGATTTTGGATATTCCCGTAATAGTAAAAACGTCCTAAGTTCATTCAGTCTTTGATTGCGGGTGTCTTGGTTTGAAACTATTGTACATATTCTTCGTGCCAGGTTATATGGAAGACTTCTTTTGGTGTGGCTCGGATGGCAAGATTTGAAGTTTAAATATTGTTTCGTATCTGTAGGTTTGTAGAAGATATCTGTGTCCAATTTCCGCCCCGATTTGATGACCATTGTGTCTAAGAAAGCTGTTTTAGTTTGATCTGCCTCCATAGTGAAAACAAGATTTTCGTCCATGCTATTTAATAGTTCGTAAAATGTATTTAGTTTCTCCTCAGAAAATGGCCAAATTATGAAGCAGTCGTCTAGAAATCTTTTCCAATTTTCCATGAAATAATGGGCAACATCCTCTCCAAGAATTTGACTGATTTTATGCTTGAACTTTTTCCTCCAGATATCCTAAGACAAGCGTCCGCATAAGTCGGCGCCATTTTGGTTCCCATGGCTGTTCCTTGAATCTGTTTATAGTACTTATCGTCAAAAAAGAAAATATTGTTTTTTAAGATGAATTCAACGCTTTCCAAAATGGAAAGAAATGCTGAAATCTAGAAAAATAATAAATAGCAAAAGACAAAATCAGAATCTTAAAAAGATACTAACAAAAGCCAAATTTATTTCAAAGAAACAGAATTTATCAAATCCTACTGTGTCTAGATGCAACAGAGGTAACTGTGGAACGTGTCGACATATTGTTGAAGGACACTCTGTAACTTTCACGAGACACGGAGAATTCTATGTAAAACAGAATTTTGACTGCTCTTGCAAAAACATAATATATGTCATAACATGCACAGGCTGTAATGAACAGTATATTGGTCAATCAGAAAATTTAAGAGCCGGGTTCGTGTCCACAACAACAAATAAAGTGTCCTGAAACCCGATGTATTCCACTGAGTGAACATCTAGATGTCTGTGCGAAAGGAAACGATGTTAAATTTACAATATTTCCTTTTATCAAGTTCAAAATTCGGACAGAAGTAAAAGGCGAATTTTAAAAGAACCTTACTACTTCATAGACACAGAGTACAAACCAATGTTAAGCCATTTGCAAGCTGTGACCTTGTCGCTCTAGAATGTTGTCCCTATTATGACGTCACAATATATACATCAAAACTGTGTTCCACAGGAGATATCGCTTGTGTGAGATCAAACGATATCTCCTAGGAGATATCGTTTTGACAGTAGATTTTGTACAATGCCCTGACAATGCTATGACGTCATGTACTTGATGACGTCACAATGCTATGACATCGCTGCACTGCAAGTCTAATGGCAGTACCATGTTCAGAGATGTACATTTTTTCATTGAAAATTAATGAAGAGTGATTTTGGATGATAAATAGAATCTCACCCTCGTGTCTTCTGATATCAAATATATCAACACTCGTTGATAAAGTAAAATATCCTCGGCAAGCCTCGGATATTTGTAACTTTATCAACTCGTGTTGATATAATTGATATCAGAAGACACTGAGTGAATTCTCTATATATTCATAATCCACAAGTTGTAGGACACATCATTTACAACTTTTCGGTTTGCAGTTTTACAAAATAGATGGTCAATAAAAAAATTATTGACTGTAAGATTGGGCAAAAAGGCACAGTGCCGAAAACATTGCTGAGGTTCAACATTGGCTGTCGGTCAGTCGGCACTCGATGGTGATTGAGAAAGAAAAAAGTAAGAAATATAATAAACAAACAGACAGCATTCTGTCAGTTACAGATATTATTGATAGCAATGTAAATATCACGTATGTAATGACCTTGAAGGATTTACACCAGCAAACGATAACAATATATCTAACAAATTAGATCAATCTTTTCTTAAATTTGTAAGAGTAGCATGATGTTAACACAACAATAGCAGTTTTAACATTAATTGGTTATTCTGCGAAGACATATTAACTAAGATAAAACTTATTCGGGTCTAGAAATAGTTCAACACCTAATATTATAAATAAAGTCAGTGATAATACCATTAGAATCGTAGACAAGTAGAATTATGTGTGATATGAACCCATGTTATGGATATTATTGATTTTGCAAAAGTATCCGAAACAATGCAAGGACTTTGAGACAGTTGTCGCATTGTCTTCGTTGAATATTTAAATATACTGATATTTTACTTTCCCTGGGTCCAGGCACACTTTCATCGGTGTCCAGAGTGACCGATGGTTAATGCTAATATTATCCGCTGATTTTGAGAGAATGTTTACAGCAACATATATATATATATAGAACAAGTATATATGGATGGCAACTTCTTTTATTCTAGAGCACGAAGTTCGATACAGGTTCTTGTATCGTTTTCAAGTTTTCCTCACTTGAAAACGATACAAGAACCTGTATCGAAACGTCGTGCTCTAGAATAAAAGAAGTTGTCATCCATATATACCTTGTTCTATCTGACTTCCAACTTCTAAAATGCCACTCAAAGAAGCAACATATTATGAGCGTTTTACCGAGTATGTAGGTAAGGGGAGGTAACTTTTGATTCCATTTGAAAGCGTACGACATAAAAGTCTCGCCAAAGGGATTCTAAAGTCGCACTCGGTTAAGTACAATTGATGTGTGATTTGTGTTCATGTTTACAACATGAGTTGGTTAATCAATAAGATATGAATGACGCTTTCTTATTTGTCATATATTATGGTTAAAGGCATTATGTGTTAAATATGTTATTCCGCTTTCGGAAAGCGATCCGCTTTTTGTAGTATCTAAGGAACTCAATTTGTTTCAAAATGGCCGAAAACGGATGACATGTGAGGCACACATAGTAATTTGCTTATTTTGTACGCAAAACCCTGACAATTATCTCAACCACAGGAATGGCATTATCAAATGGTTTCATTGAGGATATTTCAGCATCGCTTGTAAGGGAATACCTCAGTCGGAAGGTGAGCAGCTTTAAAGATTAAATATTTGTTGTTGAATCAGAGTTAGTGTCCAATAACGGGTTTGACAGTTCAGGACCCGTTTATTATTGAAGATATATGCATATGTATGCTACCAGCGGAATGCAGAATGTACTAGGTTCACAGAATAGGAAAATATAAGCAGTGTTAATGTGTTAATTACACTTAAAGAACTTAGAAGTTCGAGAGAGACAAATCGAGAACGTCCCGGAGACGGTGTAACTTTCAACATCAACCTCTTGTTTGCATTTAAAGCCGTTGTCAGAATATATAATTTTTAAGTTACTGCATGATAAGCTGCTATGCAGAGGTTAACCATACATAGTTACTGGCGATGGCTCTGTGATGCTGCTGCGTTTTTGTTTAAGACAGTCACTGTCTGCTGACATTGTGACACTGGTATGTGGTGTTACACAGTCATCATGGCCATTGACTACTGAGTACATAGCTGATTGGCCCGTGACCATAGCACAGCTGATACGTGGCCCGTAACCATTACATAGCTGATTGACCCGTAACCATTGCATAGCTGATACTTGGCCCGTAACCATTGCATAGCTGATACTTGGCCCGTAACCATTGCACAGCTGATTGGTCTGAACCATTGCATAGCTGATACTTGACCCGTAACCATTGCACAGCTGATAGATGGCCCGTAACCATTACATAGCTGATACTTGACCCGTAACCATTGCACAGCTGATACATGGCCTTGGGTTAGACATTCCAGGTTAGAAATTGTGCCATGCAATCTACATGATCTATAATGGAAAAGATTTCTGCCTGTATCCCCCCCTTAAATTTCATTCTAGTCAAATGATATCATCTGAATATATATTCCTCATCTGATAAGGATGAGTTTTAACATGTTTCTTTAATTGTATCTGAACATACCGAAAGGCATATCCAACTTCTAAAAATGCCACTCAAAGAAATGTTTCCTCATCGTTAAGATTTAGGGGGGATACGGGCGGAAGTTTACCGCACAGACATGGAGCATGCTGACTGCTAACACTGGGTGTACAGACCATATAAGTAACATGACATAATGTGCCACAGGGTCTCAAAACAACTCTACAAGTGATGGATGAGGAGATGCCGAGGACAGGAAGCAGCATCAGCAACAGGCAGGCACTCATGAAGGAAATTAAGATAGAAAAACTAATGAAGAAAAACAAGGTACACGTGGTTTGTTTAAGTCTTGATTTACCATATTTACACCATGTGCACAATGCTCAACATTATTTTAATTAGTTGCAACAGAATTAGCGTTTGAGTAGCCATGTTGTATATACTGTATGTATGGCTGAGATAGTATTGATCCCATGGTTAATTGGAACTTACATTCACCATATCATCATTTTTAAACACGTTAAACACACAACATGCTCTCTCTCTCTCTCTCTCTCTCTCTCTCTCTCTCTCTCTCTCTCTCTCTCTCACAACATCTCTCTCTCTCTCTCTCTTTCTCCCTCTCTCTCTCTCTCTCTCTCTCTCTCTCTCTCTCTCTCTCTCTCTCTCTCCTCTCTCTCTCTCTCTCTCTCTCTCTCTCTCTCTCTCCCTCTCTCTCTCTCTCTCCTCTCTCCTCTCCCTCTCTCCATGAAGGTCCAGGTTGGAATATTGATCTTCAGTAACCCATGCTTGTCGTAAGAGGCGACTAACGGGATCGGGTGGTCAGGCTCGCTGACTAGGTTGACACGTCATCCGTTCCCAATTGCGCAGATCGATGCTCATGCTGTTGATCACTGGATTGTCTGGTCCAGACTTCGATTATTTACAGACCGCCGCCATATAGCTGGAATATTGCTGAGTGCGGTGTAAAACTAAACTCACTCACTCAATGATCAATCACTTAACAGGAATGAAATGATATCAGTATTTTCCCTCTAACCTCAGGATACGGATCCACCCCTACGTACAATGATTGAAGTCATGTCCAGATTCTTCATGGAGAAAGGTGCCACTGTCAGGGACTCCCCAAGTCTTGGTCTACCAGCAGCAGACTGTCCTTCACCTTTGTCACAGCCCGCCAAGTCTCTCACATCACCTCGCTCAGGGTCAAGGTCATCCAATTCATCCAGTGGCAGTGAGGTCATGATGACATCAAAAGCCAGACCATCCACAACACAGTTTAAGAGTCGAAAATGTAATTTTTCCTTTCTTAAAAGTTTAATATGTCCAATTATCTCCTTGGCAAACTGATGAAATTACTCATTTTTATGAAGTTATGGAATGTTGGTCATATTTGAATTTGTCAAGGCTATTATCACCTTTGTTTTAAAAATTATCAATTATCAGTATTTTCACTTGTGTTTCTACACATGATTTCAAGGCCCAGTTGTCTAATGAGTACACTTTGCTGTGCAGGGTTACATTCCTTGGGATCAGCAGAATACCATGATCATGATTTCACTTCCCAGTTTGCGACCGCACTCCATGGTGTAGTGTAGTGGTTAGAAAGGCCCGCCTCGAGAGCGGAAGGTCGTGGGTTCGATCCCCGACCGCGTCATACCAAAAGACGTTAAAATATTATACTTGTAGGTCCCTGCGTGGCACTCGGCATTAATGGGTACAACAAGGACTGGTCGGCTCAGAGTCAGTATAATGTGTCTGAGTTGGGTATTTTTGCTTCACTGCGGCATGGTATCTCAGTGAGCTGGCACTATAACACCAGCTTAAGTCTGGGCTAGTACAAGCAGCCCCACGTACACATACACACGCATGCACGTCGTCATATGAGCGAAATATTCTCAAGCACGACGTTAAACCCAATTTCACCTCACCTCACTTCCCAGTTTGCACACAGTTATGTTTCTAGGTTAGTTGGCATTGTACCTGTGTTTGTAGGTTTCACCAAAGTGGTAAACATCTGCATGGGAGATCCACATCACTCCAGGCTTTCTTCCCCTTTGAAGGAGACATGCTGTGATATAACAGAACTACTGTTCAAAGAGGCATTTAACCCAACTCGCACACTCATTTACATGATTCAGTCCATTTATATCTAGTGATATGAATTTTCATCATAGAATGGGGTTACATTTTCACTATTTTGCTTGCTGTCAGGAAGCAGATAATGGTGAGGTGAGGTGAAATTTGGTTTAACGTCGTGCTTGAGAATATTTCGCTCATATGACGACGTGCATGTGTGTGTATGTGTATGCGCCTGCTTGTACTAGCCCAGACTTAAGCTGGTTTTATAGTGCTAGCCCACTGAGATATCATGCTGCAGTGAAGCATGAATACCCCACTCAGACACATTATACTGACTCCGAGCCAACCAGTCCTTGTTGTACCCATTAATGCCGAGCAGATAATGGACAATGTTTGTAAACTTGTAGGCAACGACCACGCTGACCTTGTGATAGAAGATGATGTTGAGAGTGAGACCCTTCTGGGGGAAGGGAAGTCTGGTATTTTCTCCAACGAGATGTCGGAACCGGAGCCAGTGCCACGCCCACAAACCAGACCCCTTTCATCGAAACGAAGGCCCATGTCAGGGGCTATTTTGAGTAATCTGGATGTAGGTTTGACAACGAGAAAACAAAATATTTCAGTATTGAGTAGATTCATCTAATTTGAGGAGAAACATGTAGCAAAGGGAAGAACGTAACAAGTTACCATGGTAACAGTTTCAATGATTTTTAGAAAGCTTGAATTTGTGATTTTTGAAAGTTGTCTGTGGTCATTTTTAATATATAAATTATAGTGATGATCATAATAAAAAAAGATGAAAATCATATAAAATCGAGTCAAATGAAGAAATAACTGTCAGACTTTATTCATGACAATTAAAACACCTTTATTGTGATGCATTTAAAGCAATGAATAGCACTGGGTAGTGGGTGCAAGGTAATGCAGTTGCTCTATCAGTTCCATCATGCTATTAATAGCATTACACAGACAGTGCGTTTAATGTTGTTAAGCCTATATATTTCCACTCAACATTATACCATCTTTCATTCTCTGAATTCTAAAACAAAAGATTCAGGGTGGTGTTTCAAGTAAGAAAAGAATCTCAAATAATGAAAGAAAGTACTGTATCAGGATATGAATGGCATTTCACCCTTATTATCTGGATAGATATATCTAATCACGTCCCCACCCGATACACCTTAACTAAAATGTTAAACAAAGTTCACTGTCGTCAACCCATTCCAGTTTCCACTGGGTCCAGTTCTTCACATAAGTATAATGTGTGAAGCCCATTTCACCTGCAATCTGCCATGATACTGCCAAAATCGGCTTGAAATTGAACTCACTCACCTCGTATGGGGATGAAGCAAATGATGTTTTAATGATGATGCGTTTCTCTCACCTACAGGATGCCAATCGCAGAAGAAATCCAAAGCCTCGATTCACGAACAGCACCCAGTCCCGTCCAGTTGCCACCTTGCCCACCGTTTCATCCAACTCTAGTCTGGAGGATAGGCCCGACCCTCTGCTACCAGAACCTACCACCAACTCCTACACACCTAAGTCGCGTATACACCAGGAACCAAAACCAGTCAGTCGAGTTGACAATGACACTGAAGCCAGGCACTCGCGGAGTCGTGTTTCTATCGAGGATGTTTTGGAGAAGAGCTCGGAGAGGCTGGACCAGATCAGTCGGAGGAAATCACAGACTGAGATGGTGGAGCAGAAGAAGAGCTACAGTGTCGATATGTCCAGTATGTCTCGTGATCGCCCCAAAAGTCGGACATCATCACGATCCAGGTACTTCCTCTGAGAGTTGCTTGTTTCATACTCTAAGCTTGAGTTTATAGATTTTGACCAAATAGATATTCAAACATATTGTAGGAAAACTACTGAGACGTGACCACTATGATTACCTTCACTAATCACCATCACCAGTCACCCATGACCATCACAGTCACCAATCACTTATCACCCATCATACAGACCAATCGCACAAACAATCACCAATCACCATCACAAATCACAATCACAATCACAAATCACAAATCAATCACCAACAAATCACAAATCACATCAATCACAAATCACAAATCACAATTATCACCAATCACCAATCACACAAACCAATCACCATCACAAATCACCATCACAAATCACCATCACAAACAATCACAATCACCAATCACTTATCACCCATCACACAAACCAATCGCACAAACAATCACTAATCACCATCACAAATCACCATCACAATCACAAATCACATCATCACAATCACCAATCACCAATCACTTATCACCCATCACACAAACCAATTGCACAAACCAATCGCACAAACAATCACCAATCATCAATCACCTAGACAAGTCACAAGTCACCAATAGCCATCACCACTACCATCACCAATTGCCAGTTATCATCACCAGCCATCTTGACCATCCCCAGAATCATCACCATCACAAGTGACCATCACCATTCACCACTATTATCATCACTATGATTGACAGAATCACAGTGCCAATGTGTGTGACAGACAACACTATGTAACTCAGACTATTGTGATCTTTGTATGCTCAATGCTTCCTTCTTTATTTTGGACTGCTCCAGCCTTATATTTCTTCAATTTACCAAAATGAGTTTCGCTATAGATAATAATAATGATGGAACAGTTTCAGTTTGTGTATAATCATGAATGTTGGAATCAGATGAGAATCCATCACACTGAAAGTGCTGACATGTTCCAGAATCAGGTTGACAAATATGGCTGACCGTCATTTTAATATTCGTTTCCTGCAGCGAACCTGTTAAAACCTTAGTAGGAGATGTGGAATTTGGTGATATGGACGACCTGGAGAATGAAGTGAGTGACCTTCACCTTGGTCCTACTTCATCGATATTAAAGCCAAATAACAACAGGATGAAGATAAACACCAGCAAGCTGGACTCCACACCCATCGACACGAAAACCTGCCGTGGTAGGATCATAAGTTTTGTGGTCTTAGTAGCATGTAGAATTAGTTTCGGAACTGTGAATTACTGTCATTATGTTTACTAAGGGATTCGTGCAGAGATCTATTACAGGACATGCAGCTGCTGTTACTCCATCTTTGTCAAGTCAGGCATGTCACTTAGGCATTGGACCTTTGAAGATCTGGGTTTGAATTGGTCTTCAGTAACCCATGTTTGTCGTAAGAGGTGACTAACGGGATCGGGTGGTCAGGCTTGCTGACTTACCCGTCATCGTATCCCAACTGTGGCAGATCGATGTTCATGCTGTTGATCACTGGATTGTCTGGTCCAGACTGCCATGTAGCTGGAATATTGCTGTGTCTGGCATTAAACACTAAACAACAACAATGCTAAGGCATAGCACTATTTTTCATTTGGTTTATGAGTGAAACAGGCAAAAAGACAACTTAAACTGGAACAAAAATATATTAATGCTTCAGACTGCGTTTTATGGTTAGACAGCAGATTTTAGAATCATTTGTAAACCATCTAATGAGCAATAGAAGATATCATCTGGCTCATGATAGATGTGGGGCATTAGTGGCCCAGTGGTCAAGGTCACTACCTGTTGGCCCTTAGCCATAGCAGGATTGCTGGTCCTAGGTTTAAACCTATGCTGGTTGTTAGAGTGGACATATTGGGTTGAGTGACTCAGCAACATGGATGATATTGTGTTGATATGAACCGACACAAGTTGATTTGTTGTTTTGTTCATAATATTGACCACTTGGTTTACAGACTGACCAATAGACTGACCAATCAGTCATCAGGAATGATCAGTCATCAGAACATTATTTTGAGAATGATTGTTGTCTTTTATGATCAACAGGGTTGTACAATTCAGATACAAATTATGTCCCATGTCTATACTGGAATTGGGAGGTCTGATTAGAATAATGAAATTGGATGCCGTTCAACTATCAAGCACTCATTTCATTCGTGTGGTTTATATTTAGAGTGAGTGGGTAATTAAGGCTTTATGCTGCTTTTAGCAATATTCCAACAGTATAACAGCAATATCACAGCAAGGTACACTGGAAATGGGATTCACATATTGTACCCATGTGGGCAATCAAGCCCAGGTCCCGATTTCTCGAAACATACTTAAGTTTTTACTCAAATTTCAAACTGAGTTTGACAATTTGGAACAGCTGGATTTTTATCTCAGCTGCATTTTAAATATAAAAGCCCAAACAACTTAATTATTCTATTCACCAAACACAAATTGTCTACTATGTTTGAGTTTAATATCGGTTTTATTTCATTCTGGGAAATGCGTTTTCTCAAATTTGAGTAAAAACTCTAACTTAAATCAAAACTCAGACTTAAGTTTGTTTCGAGAAATCGGGGCCCGGTCTTCGACGAGTGAAAGCTACTGCACCACCCGTTATATATAGAGAAGAGTGTGTGATCTTTCAACATGTTAAAAAATGTGCCATCTAATAAGTTTAATCAGAACTTCACATTTTTGCGCTTTGACATAACACAAGACATTACTGTATGGATGACATTATCCTTCTGACAGGCCCTGAAGGTGTTGATTCATGGTACAGCAACCCTTGGCTTCAATGACGAGTGGTTCTACCAGAGTCTGGGCTTCTGTGATATGCCAGAGTTGCAGTATGGGATTGTACAGAAGAAGGTAACAGTGTTTGCTTATTTCCAGCTTAAACATTATCTAAAAGTGCATCCGATCACAACATTATGTTGTGGTGTATGAGAGCATGTTGTTGTGTGCCTTGTCACAACATGGTGTGGCACATTGGCTTCACTGGACATTGGTCACTGGCAGGTCCAGGGGAGAGTGCAAGGGTGAGCATATGTCCCCTTTTCCAGATACCCTAATTGTTAACTTTATCCTTGCTCATGTAACTTTGTGTCCTTCGTGTTTTATTCAAAATCCAGCTCTGCAAGATATGTCTGCAGCTGATTTGCCCAGACAGAATTGATTAAATTACAAATTCCTAATAGCAATGAAAATGCCATTGTTGTCAGTGTTTCCCAAAGTTGATGTCAAGACTCACTAATAATTATCTCGGACTGAACCAAGTTGATGTCAAGACTCACTAGTAATTATCTCGGACTGAACCAAGTTGATGTCAAGACTCACTAGTAATTATCTGGGACTGAACCAAATTGATGTCGAGAGTCGGTAGTAATTATCTGGGACTGAACCAAGTTGATGTCAAGACTCACTAGTAATTATCTCGGACTGAACCAAGTTGATGTCGAGAGTCAGTAGTAATTATCTCGGACTGAACCAAGTTGATGTCAAGACTCACTAGTAATTATCTGGGACTGAACCAAGTTGATGTCGAGAGTCAGTAGTAATTATCTCGGACTGAACCAAGTTGATGTCAAGACTCACTAGTAATTATCTCGGACTGAACCAAGTTGATGTCAAGACTCACTAGTAATTATCTCGGACTGAACCAAGTTGATGTCAAGACTCACTAGAGTCAGTAGTAATTATCTGGGACTGAACCAAGTTGATGTCAAGTTGATGTCAGTAGTAATTATCTCGGACTGAACCAAGTTGATGTCAAGACTCACTAGTAATTATAGACTGAACCAAGTTGATGTATCACTAGTAATTATCTGGGACTGAACCAAGTTGATGTCGAGAGTCAGTAGTAATTATCTGGGACTGAACCAAGTTGATGTCAAGACTCACTAGAGTCACTAGTAATTATCTCGGACTGAACCAAGTTGATGTCGAGAGTCAGTAGTAATTATCTGGGACTGAACCAAGTTGATGTCAAGACTCACTAGTAATTATCTCGGACTGAACCAAGTTGATGTCGAGACTCAGTAGTAATTATCTGGGACTGAACCAAGTTGATGTCAAGACTCACTAGTAATTATCTGGGACTGAACCAAGTTGATGTCAAGACTCACTAGATCTGGGACTCAAGTTGATGACTCACTAGTAATTATCTGGGACTGAACCAAGTTGATGTCAAGACTCACTAGTTGATTATCACTAGTAATTGGACTGAACCAAGTTGATGTCAAGACTCACTAGTAATTATCTGGGACTGAACCAAGTTGATGTCAAGACTCACTAGTAATTATCTGGGACTGAACCAAGTTGATGTCGAGATCTCACTAGTAATTATCTGGGACTGAACCAAGTTGATGTCAAGACTCACTAGTAATTATCTTGGACTGAACCAAGTTGATGTCGAGAGTCAGGTAGTAATTATCTGGGACTGAACCAAGTTGATGTCAAGACTCACTAGTAATTATCTCGGACTGAACCAAGTTGATGTCGAGACCAAGTTGATGTCAAGACTCACTAGTAATTATCTGGGACTGAACCAAGTTGATGTCAAGACTCACTAGTAATTATCTGGGACTGAACCAAGTTGATGTCAAGACTCACTAGTAATTATCTGGGACTGAACCAAGTTGATGTCGAGACTCACTAGTAATTATCTGGGACTGAACCAAGTTGATGTCAAGACTCACTAGTAATTATCTGGGACTGAACCAAGTTGATGTCGAGACTCAGTAGTAATTATCTCAGGCTGAACCAAACAGTAGATTACTGAGATATCATGGTATATCATTTAGTCTATATCATTTAGAGTTTTCACTCTCTATATATTGTGTGTTTTAGGGATGCTTCTGTAACGCTAAAGTAGTTTTGCAGCAAATATTATTAGGAAAAATATAACTGAAGTTAAAGTTGAAGGTACATAAAAAAACTGAAATGCTGAAAATGCTGATTTGAATCAAGTTGTCTACATGACTATAGTCTGTTTGGGTCAAAATGATACGGATGAATCACGACCTAACTCCAAATTGGTTCATGATCAAACATTCATTTCAACACATTGTATCCATGTGGGGAATCGAACCTGGGTCTTCGGCATGACGAGCGAACGCTTTAACCACTACACTACCCAGCAGGCAACACATTGCTTGTAAAACACTGGATCAAAATAACCACTTTATACAGCAGATTATGTCAGAGCTCCATGACTTGCTTAAAGATGATGAGCAGACTGTGCCCCTTGTGGTGAAAGTTTATTACCAGGCTGGTTATTGCGGTCATGTTTACAAGTGTAGATTGACCACTGTAGTATTCTGCTTCTTCAGGGTGGTCCGTGTGGAGTGATGGCCTCCATCCAGGCTTGTATGCTGCAGGAGATGCTGTTCGGGGAACAGAAGCTGACACACAACAAATGGTAAAGTACAAGAGTCTTTGCTGCATGTTGCGTTCATGTTTGTTGAAAGAGTTGACCTAGGGATTGGTTGGTCATTATGTCTGATCTGCCTGTTTGTGTAACCTGATGTTGTGGATGTTCATACTGTCAACCTCTTGGTGATGCATAACACATGATTCACTCATTCACAGTGTTCGGGAATTCTTAGGCAAGCTCAAAGTACCACATGCTTGTCTTTAGAGCAGATTGATGAAGTTCAGTTGTTGGGATTATTTTTGTCTGTTTTCTCTTTCCACACTCAGCAACAATCCACTATATGAAGGATGTCTGTAAATAATTGAGTCCAGACAATCATCCAGTGGTTGATGTCATGAACATTAATTGGGCAACAATGACATTCACTATGAAGCAAACCTGAACACTGGGTCCACCTGGAGTACAATTCAATCACTATTTATGGTTTGACCTTGTGTGACCTGGCTATGTGTCATTATTTGACCTTGTGTGACTCTGGCTGATGGTGTGTCATTATTTCCCCAATGACCTGATTGTTGTTGTACTTACAGCCATTGGCTGACTCAGTGTGAAAGGATATTGCTGACTCAGCTGTGAAAGGATATTGCTGACTCGCAGTGTGAAAGAATATTGCTGACTCAGCGTGAAAGAATATTGCTGACTTGGTGTGAAAGGATATGATTCGTGAAAGGCTGACTCAGTGTGAAAGAATATTGCTGACTCAGTGTGAAAGGATATTGCTGACTCAGTGTGAAAGGATATTGCTGACTCAGTGTAAAAGGATATTGCTGACTCAGTGTGAAAGATATTGCTGACTCGGTGTGAAAGGATATTGCTGACTCGGGTGTGAAAGGATATTGCTGACTCAGCGTGAAAGAAAGGATATTGACTCAGTGTGAAAGGATATTGCTGACTCGTGAAAGGATATTGCTGACTTCGGTGTGATTGTTGACTCAGAAAGGATATTGCTGACTCAGTGAAAGGATGAAAGGATATTGCTGACTCAGTGTGAAAGGATATATTGCTGACTCAGTGTGAAAGGATATTGCTGACTCAGTGTGAAAGGATATTGCTGACTCAGTGTGAAAGGATATTGCTGACTCAGTGTGAAAGGATATTGCTGACTCTGAAAGGATATTGCTGACTCAGTGTGAAAGAATATTGCACTTCGGTGTGATATTGCTGACTCCATTGCTGACTGACTCGGTGTGAAAGGATATTGCTGACTCTGTGAAAGGATAAAGGTGAAATATATTGCTGCAGTGTGAAAGGATATTGATATTGACTCTGTGAAAGGATATTGCTGACTCCAGTGTGAAAGGATATTGCTGACCTGCTGAAGTGAAAAGGATATTGCTGACTCGGTGTGAAAGAATATTGCTGAGTGTGAAAGGATATTGCTGACTCAGTGTGAAAGGATATTGCTGACTCGGTGTGAAAGGATATTGCTGACTCAGCGTGAAAGGATATTGCTGACTCGGTGTGAAAGGATATTGCTGACTCAGTGTGAAAGGATATATTGCGTGAAAGGATATTGCTGACTCGGTGTGAAAGGATATTGCTGACTCGGTGTGAAAGGATATTGCTGACTCGGTGTGAAAGGATATTGCTGACTCAGCGTGAAAGGATATTGCTGACTCAGTGTGAAAGAATATTGCTGACTCAGTGTGAAAGGATATTGCTGACTCACTCGTGTGAAAGGATATTGCTGACTCAGTGTGAAAGGATATTGCTGACTCAGAGTGAAAGGATATTGCTGACTCAGTGTGAAAGGATATTGCTGACTCAGTGTGAAAGGATATTGCTGACTCAGTGTGAAAGGATATTGCTGACTCAGTGTGAAAGGATATTGCTGACTCAGTGTGAAAGGATATTGCTGACTCGGTGTGAAAGGATATTGCTGATATTGCTGACTCGGTGTGAAAGGATATTGCTGACTAGCGTGTGAAAGGATATTGCTGACTCGGTGAAAGGAAGGATTGCTGACTCAGCGTGAAAGGATATTGCTGACTCAGTGTGAAAGGATATTGCTGACTGAAAGGTGTGAAAGGATATTGCTGACTCATTTCGGTGAAAGGTGACTCTGTGAAAGGAATATTGCTGACTCAGTGTTGAAAGCTGAATATTGCTGACTCAGTGTGAAAAGAATATTGCTGACTCAGTGTGAAAGAAAGAATATTGCTGACTCAGCAGAAAAGAATATTGATGTCTCAATACTGTAAACAAACTTTCTATCCCTTTTCCACTGTTATATTCTGTCCATTTAAAAAAGAAAACATCCCTGTGATTGATTTCTTATGCCTTGATAGCAAGCTAAATTACATAAACAGTTTCTTGTTTGTGTTCCTAAATTCCCAAGAGACATTTGTACAAAGTAAATAATGCAATGTTGTCCGTGAAATGATGCTGACTGTTTAACCACCTACAAATCTGACTTGATATGCCTGATCATGTTGATCGTGTTTCATCATTTCAGTCTGGACCCCTCGAGAAGTGAAAGGTCCAACTTCCTGGCTCGGGCTCTCAGTCATATACTGTGGCGGGCTGGGGATTGTAAGAAGGCTATCGTATCAATGTGAGTAAACAGCTACATTTCTAACTATACAGTTATTGATAATGATGCTAATAATAACAATAAGCATCTTTAGGGGAATTTAAAATACAAGCAGCCTTTGACTGTTGTACGAATGGTTTCCTTACTGTCGTCGGGCGGTGGGGTAGCCTAGTGGTTAAAGCGTTGGCTCGTCACGCCGAAGACCCGGGTTCGATTCCCCACATGGGCACAATGTGTTAAGCCCATTTCAGGTGTCCCCTGCCGTGATATTGCTGGAATATTGCTAAAAGCGGCGTAAAACTAAACTCAATCAGTCAGTCTTACTGTCATCTGCTAAGCACATGTGCTGGGTTGAGGCATGTGGGATGTGTGACAGAGCGAGAGTTGCACGTGATGTGCTTTGATATATTATCACGCTCGCGACATGACCTGTGAGTTTCTGACTATGACTATGTTGTTGACATGTGGAATAAAGGAGTAAGCCTGCCCCAGACTCCTGCATTCTTTTCAGGACGGACTAGAAGGTCACATTATCATCTCATCCTACCAGGTACCAGTTCACTGCTGAGTGAACAGAGGCCTATGTCAAACAAAGTAACTTGCCAAATGTGCTATATGTGCCTCAGTGTGGGGCAAGACCAAATCTCACAAGTCAAGCTGGAGAACACAATCACATTATTTGCATAATCATTTTAGTGTTTTTTAACCCGACATGTGTCATTTCCATTGGTCAGGAGGCCAGTCATAACTCGGGGATATAAGATGCTTATAAGCATATAAATGAGATGGTTTAATGCTCATTTTCATGAAACTGTATCCTTGTGATGATGTGGAATTTGCCACATCATGAGAAACTGAATTTGCCTTAATGATGAAGAATTGCAAACAAAAACAAACAGCCTGACATCAACATAGGTTTATAATTTGAATTTGAGTTGTATTATTTTATTTTTTTTTTTTTTTCAGGCCCTCAGGGAGACCCCACGTTCTCGCCAGTGCTAAATTCAAACATGACAACCTCACAGAAACAGTGAGTGGAGTTAACATCAATATCAGTAGTGCTGTAATGATGCATCGAACTATCGATGGATTGCAATTGTTGAATCTCGATAGCAATTAATCGATGGAAGAAACGAAAAACTATCGATGCATCGATAGTATGTGTGTCTATCAATAGTTTAGTAACTGCCTTCCGTTCATAAATGCACAAGTGCGCAAAATACAGGAAGTACCAGATTCGTTCACTTTGATTTAGAGTTATCTGCCCCTGTTACCTCTTAAACAAACTTGGGTTTCAAGTTTCTTGTCAGTTATTAAAAGAGACTGAAACTACTTCAGCTTGTTCTTATTTCATATAAACTATACATTCATTTGGGAAATGGCTTAAATTGAGACAATTCAAGGAGAGAAAAACTATTGCAATAGTATTGCAATAGTTGGTCACAATAGATTATCGCTATCGGAGAAGTATGTTGCAATAGACTATCACTATCGCAATAGTATTTTCCCCCTCAATAGTCACCCCTAATCTGAAGTATACTCATCAGAAAACCAGTCATTTCAGTTGGAACAATTTGCTGGGCGGTGGGGTAGCCTAGTGGTTAAAGCGTTGGCCCGTCACGCCGAAGACCCGGGTTCGAATCCCCACATGGGCACAATGTGTGAAGCCCATTTCTGGTGTCCCCCGCCGTGATATTGCTGGAATATTGCTAAAAGCGGCGTAAAACCAAACTCAGTCAGTCAGTGGAACAATTTGCCCTGCTGCTTCCTGAGGCAAGAGTGTTAACTGACTTCAAAAGTCTCCACCCTTGTGAACCTAGGCTAGACTGAATTGGACTAAGCATAGTCTGGCCGAAACATTACTCTGTAATTCTAGCCTAATTCACAAGGGAGGAGACTTTTAACGTCAGTAATCTGCCTTGTTTCTGGAAGATGATGACAATGTTCCTTAAACGTGATATACTGAACAATTATTAGTATTTGAGGAAATATTTATTTTGTAGTGAAGACGACACTCAATTTCATAAAAATATTTCCAACAATATTCATGATCACTAACCTTTTGCTAGTAAACATAACTACCATTAAGGTTAATGAAAGAATTAATGCAAATATGGAGTTTTATGGCATTTTTTAATTAATTCTAAGTCGTGGCTTTAAGCATTGCTGATATGTGTAAACTAGTTTCCTGAGGTGTATTCCTGTCTGTTTCAGCTGACACTTTATACTTTCACCAAATATCGATGAACTGCTGAGTTTTATTAAACAGTCTGTATCTCAGGTGAGAGGCTCTCCGTTTAGCCAGTTACGATGTTTGACGTGTGCAGCAAGACCACAAAAATTGTATTATTGATTTGTTTTTGACAGTCTTCAGGGTTGTTTTGATGAGCAAGTGTTTTGGATTTGATAAATTGTGAATAATTTCCTTTATGTCACAGGATAGCAAGATGACTAGTCATCTTACACCACCACTGTTCTACTTTTTTTGTAGTTTCTGACCCATATATTTACATAATTGGTCCTTCAGATGATATACTTGTGCTCACAGGAAGCAAATTTCAGCAGAGTGCAAGCCCCTTAAAGATAGAGGTTATGGTCTGGACCCAATCTTTGGAATATAGGATGTGGGCAAAAGAAGTAATGGCACTGTATATTCACAGCATACAGCAGTGGGAGCCATGCCAATTTACAGACTTTGTAGGCAGACGATTAGGTGCCTGACTCTGAGAATATTGCAGGGGTGAAAATAACCCATTGCCTGACGCCCGAGTCCAGTGTTTTATTCTGTCGGGCAAGCAAATTAGTATGTCACACTGTACCGGTGTCCAGTTGACTTTCCAATGTTAATTATGTTCTTTATGTAAAAAATCAACAAGAAAACAGCTGGTATAGTGGAAAAATGATCAGGGCAAGTGATTTTACATGTGCCACTGTACCGAAGTACACTAGCAATGTTAAAGTTATTTCCACCCCTGTATTGGTTTGAATCCTGGATGACACTCAACCCAACAAAAGTACGAGAATATGTACTTTACTGAGAAAGTGTATTCCCAAATATAACATGTGTTACATTTGACCACTTTCTAAATGGTATTGTGGTGAAAAGTTTACAATTTTCCCCTCTAACCTCTATCTTCGAGTTTTCGCTATGCTGAAATTTGCATCCTGTGTGCACAAGTGTATGACTTGACACAGAAGTAAGACACTGTATCTCCAGTGATGCATCTCCAGGTGATGCAGTTGCAGCCTCTTAAACATGTTATGCCAGCTGATACACTAAGAATTTATCACTTGACATTCTATAGTATTGTGTAGAAACACTAAATACCACATATCCCTGGACACCCCTCTAAACAAACAAATCACTGCTGCCTATGTGATATGTGTCTGGTAATATGAATGTTAATACATGGATTATAATATATGTATGTTTATATGTGTGGTGTTTTGTTTTCCAGTTCGAGCTTGACGGCAACAACGGGGTGATACTGGTGCTATACTCGGCCCTGCTTTCAAGAGGGCTGGACAGGTCAGTTGTGGAGCTTGACCACAAGTCACTATCATCATTACCATATTGGGACTGATGGACATTCTAGGCTGAATACGTTGTTGTAAATATTGTAGCATGTCGTCATGGCCACTGTAGGCAGAGCATTGGCAAATCAGTGCAGTCACCTTGGCTGCCATTATTAGTAGGGATGCCACGATACATGATGCATCGATACTTTTTCTAAGACGATACAATTATTGATACATTCAAAACTGTATGGTTATTTAGTTTTGAAAGTATCAGTTTAAATATGTTTATGTATCGTATACATTTTGCAATTGTATCATGTTTTTTATGTTATGAGAGTTATATATGATTATTTTTCATGCACAAAGATGGGAAATTAGAACTTTTTAGTCTCTGAGAATGAAAACTGTTGATCTTTTCATGGACAGTTATAAAATATGAAATATTAATGTTCAAAATGTAACTAAATTTACGCAGTAATGCTGCAAAAATAGGTATCGTGATACATATCGAATGGTGACATGTGTATCGTGATACGTATCGATTCATGAAACTTATGTATCGTGACATCCCTAATTATTAGGCGAGATTAGGGTTAGCACTACTTCCATTGTCCATCACTGATATAGGGACCCTGTCATGTCTGTTTTATCTGTCCTCATGTTTGTGATGTGTAGTGCCCGCCTTTCATATTACAATTTGTTGCAATAATCATTCATGTATTTCAGTATGTACAGTGATATATTGCATGTGTTCTTTCATCTGTAATAAGTTATGAACCAAACAGTGTGAGAGCAGGCACAATGTTGGTTTAAGGATCTCCTACAGTACAGATGGGTGTTTTGTTGTTGATATCACCTGTACATTCCTGCTGTGTGTGTGTTTGTTGTTTGTTTACTGTGGTGTGGTCTGCTTGCAGAGTTCGTGATGACCTGGATGAGCCTGAGGGGAAACTGATGGCAGCCCATGGATACTGCACTCAGGTATCACACTTAATGACTTGTTGATGTACTGGATATTCTAGCTGGGAGGGTGGACATTCTAGCAGGGAGGGTGGACATTCTAGCAGGGAGGGTGGACATTGTGGCTGGGAGGGTGGACATTCTAGCTGGGAGGGTGGACATTCTAGCTGGGAGGGTGGACATTCTAGCATTCTAGCAGGGAGGGTGGACATTCTAGCAGGGAGGGTGGACATTCTGAGGGTGGACATTCTAGCTGGGAGGGTGGACATTGTAGCTGGGAGGGTGGACATTCTAGCTGGGAGGGTGGACATTCTAGCTGAAGGTGGACATTCTAGCAGGGAGGGTGGACATTCTAGCTGGAAGGTGGACATTCTAGCTGGGACTGGATATTCTAGCAGGGAGGGTGGATATTCTAGCTGAGGGTGGACATTCTAGCTGAGGGTGGACATTCTAGCTGAGGGTGGACATTCTAGCTGGGAGGGTGGACATTAGCTGGACAGCTGTGGATATTCTAGCAGGGACTGGATATTCTAGCAGGGAGGGTGGACATTCTAGCTGAGGGTGGAACTGGTGGACATTCTAGTTGAGGGTGGACATTCTAGCAGGGAGGTGGACATTCTAGCAGGGAGGGTGGACATTCTAGTTGAGGGTGGACATTCTAGGTGGGGACATTCTAGTTGAGGGTGGACATTCTCTAGGTGGACTGAGGGTGGACATTCTAACTGAGGGTGGACATTCTAACTGAGGGTGGACATTCTAGTTGAGGGTGGATATTCTAACTGAGGATGGACATTCTAGTTGAGGGAGGAAATTCTAGCTGATGGTGGACATTCTAGCTGGGAGTGTGGATATTCTAGCAGGGAGGGTGGACGTTCCAACCTTTGGGGAGAATATTCCAGATGGATGTCACAGTGGTTTAAGCTTAACCAGTCAATATATGACACACTTCATTGTGATTAATACATATTCCTTCATAAATTATTAAAATTACCCTCACATCAGATGGGTTACAAATCTGACTAAAGTCCTTTCCTGTACTTCCACCAGTAACACCTACACTGTGTATTTGTTTGGAGGAATGATATGAAAAATAGGAACAGAAATGTACTCAGTTATTCCATCCATTGTAAGCTTAATTTAGTTGTCATTCTTTTTGTATTGTAACATGAGGCACCTGCATTGTGACATCCCTAATGAAAAATAGGAACAGAAATGTACTACGAAAATCGCTCCTCAGCTGAAACAACACATTCATTTATGTGTACTAGAACTCATTTCATTTTGTACAATTTGCTGACATTGTGTTGCAGGAAATGGTAAACTTGCTGCTGACCGGCCGAGCTGTGGCTAACGTGTTTAATGATGTCATGGAGCTGGACTCCGGGAATGACCAGGTCACCATCCTCAAAGGCATACACGCACGCTCGGATATTGGATTCCTGTCCTTGTTTGAACACTACAAGTCTTGCAAGGTACAGACACTGTGTACAATCTCTTTGTGTTGTGTGAGGCACAGTCTTTCAGCTGTTGCAGGTGCTTGAATTCTAGAATCTGCTGATCGTCACCTGCTTCAAGGTGCACATGATGGGTCGCTGTCAGTTCCTACAAAGCCATGTGTTCTCAACAATGCTTCACTTGAATATGATTTTTATCACATTTAGATTAAATATTTGGATGTAACTGAAATACCTGTTTAACGCGAGAGTCACTATAATAAGTTGTCCATAACTCCTTTGATCAAGGGGTATCCATGCTTCACTGCGGCATGGTATCTCAGTGGGCTAGCACTATAAAACCAGCTTAAGTCTGGGCTAGTACAAGCAGCCGTACATACACATGCACACGCATGCACGTCGTCATATGAGCGAAATATTCTCAAGCACGACGTTAAACCCAATTTCACCTCACCTCACCTTTGATCAAGGGCGGTGGGGTAGCCTTGTAATTAAAGCCTTCACTCGTCACGCCAAAGACCCAGGTTCGATTCCCCACATAGGTACAATGTGTGAAGCCCATTTCTGGTGTCCCCCGCCGGGAATATTGCTGGAATATTGCTAAAAGCAGCATAAAACTAAACTCACTCACTCACCTTTGACCATGTTGCAGGTGGGGACGTACTACAAGACCCCCAAGTTCCCAATCTGGGTTGTGTGCAGTGAGAGTCACTTCAGCGTGTTGTTCAGTATCCGAAGAGAGCTGATCAGTGACTGGAAGGCCGAGCGTAGGTTTGACCTCTACTACTACGACGGCCTTGCTCGACAACAGGAGCAGATTAAACTAACTGTGGGTAAGTTGTAGCACACAGACTAGACACTGCCATGTTGAGAATATAGTTTATATTAAAAGAATTATAATGGACTCTGTCTAAACTAGCATCACATGGTACGGATAAACATGGAGTGGTGGTTTATACAGAGAAATAACACTAACATATAATGCAGGTTTGTACAAAATGCGACCTCCTCCGTGGTGTAGTGGTTAGAGTGTCCGCCCGGAGAGCGGAAGGTCGCGGGTTCGATCCCCGACCGCGTCATACCAAAAGATGTTAAAATATGGTACTTGTTGGTCCCTGCCTGGCGCTCGGCATTAATGGGTACAACAAGGACTTGTCGGCTCGGAGTCAGTATAATGTGTCTGAGTGGGATATTCATGCTTCACTGCGGCATGGTATCTCAGTGGGCTAGCACTATAAAACCAGCTTAAATCTGGGCTAGTACAAGCAGCCGCACATACACATACACGCGCATGCACATCATCATATGAGCGAAATATTCTCAAGCACGACGTTAAACCCAATTTCACCTCACCTTTTACAAAATGCTGGATTGAACATAGTCCACTTTGTGTCAAATTGTGTTCCGATTCCACAAAGGGTTCGTAGCACAACAACTGTGGTAAGTCTATGTTAAGAATTGGAATCACAATCGTCTTAGCACAAAGATCACTGTTTGGGAAGGGTGAGTGGTATCTTATCTGGGTAGTGAACACTGATTATTGTTTGTTTAGATACGTCGAGTAGATTCTTCAAGCCACCTTCTGATGAGGAGCTAGTTCCTCCGCTGGACCACTGTGTACGCACAAAGTGAGTACCTCTGTCTTACTCCCCTACTACGTTGTGCAGGGTGAAGTGGTGAGTAAATACTGGAGAGGAAACAGTATAGATCAACATCACCATGTGACGTCATCACGAAACTATGACAGTGTGATGTGAGTGAGTTTAGTTTTACGCCGCACTCAGCAATATTCCAGCTATATGGCAGCGGTCTGTAAAAAATCGAGTCTGGACCAGACAATCGTAATCAACAGCATGAGCATCGATCTGCGCAATTGGGAACCGATGACATGTGTCAACCAAGTCAGCGAGCCTGACCACCTGATCCCGTTAGTCACCTCTTAGACAAGCATGGGTTACTGAAGATCAATTCTAGCCCGGATCTTCACGGGTCGACAGTGTGATGTATCATGATGGGACACTACATAGCGATGACGTACGGATCATACAATAATGGTATCTTATGATCACTAAGGAATTAAATAGTGATGTAGAAAGATCCGTAAGAACCATTGGTATATGTAACTATAAGTAAGGATATGATAAAGTTATATAGCTAGTGTGCTAGTAACAGAAATGCCAACCACTCCGATTTTGTCGAAGTTACTCCCATTTTCAAATACAAAATCTGCTCTCTTTTTTCTCTTTAAAAAACTCTGATTTTTTAGAAAAAATTCTAAATTTATTTTACGGTATACAATTTATAAGTCACCAGTGATTTATTTGAGTGAACACTGGTAAAAGCATTCAGAAGCTTAGTGTGTGATCCTTTGGGTGTTGATTGTGTATATTGCGTGTTATTGATGATGTAGTTTCACAAAGTTTATCCGAATGCATGTCATAGTCCGTATGAAAGTGAAACAAAATGGCAGAGCCGACAACACGCTCACCCCCAACTCACACCTTTGGTGCTCAGGCCTGGCTTTCAGCCAGTCATGACTCTGTTTTCCTTAGATTCAGGGTTGGCATCTCTGTAGTAAGCACGCAATGAGTGATATGTATCTATCAGTTATGATTTGATATTGATATATGACCATCAGTAAGGATAGAATAAGTGATATATTAGTATCAATAACGATAAGTATCAATATGATATGTAATGGTTATGATGATCTATAGCCACCAAGGATATAACTAGTGATATGTAATCATCAGTAAGGACATGATTATGATAAATCAGTAAGGGTGTAATATTGATATGTCATTATCAGTAGGGATACAGTAAGTGATATATAACTACCAGTAAGGGTACAATAAATGATAAATAACCATCAGTAAGGATTCAGGAAATGATAATTCATGATATCCAGCCTCATGTAAGAATGTCGAGTTTTGATTGGTTCACGTGACTCTGATAAAATACCATGTACACCCGTCACGATCCGCGAGCAGGAGTACAAAAGTCGTATTATCCCATTCGCCTCACAGTGACCACCTTGGTTGAGAAAAGCGTGCATCGCCAAAAATTTGTAAAGCCCATTTCTGCATTGAGGTCAATCGATCAGCTTGGTGTCAACATGGCATCTCACATAAATAAAAACAAGGATTCGAGCGTATTGTTTTCTTTTGATTTAGTAAAACATTAAGTTACAGAATAAAACGTTATCACATTTGTCGGAAATTATGTATTTTATCAGTCCCTAAATAAGGTTGTATACAACCTACTGTGGGACTGATGCCTTATAATGTCTAAGAATACAGGAGTCATATAACTACATGTATCAGCCATTGTTGTTCCTGTTGAAGTAACACTTTCAATCTCCTATACCCATATCTCTTATAGAAGACATGTGTCTATGCTGAAAAAGTCCTTAATATTCTGTTGTGTTTGGTGTTTCAGATGGGCCGATGCTGAAGTGGACTGGAATGGCTATGAGCCTATTCTCTAGCCATCCAACAATGAACCTACTGCTGAACGTAGGCATATTTCAGCCAACAGGCACCAGCAGGGCAGTTTATACCCTGTCTATAGACTGTGATACTGTGACTGATCTGACCAGTTCTACTTAACCCATAATGACATGGATGACAAGTTGTACAAAGAGCACACAATGTGATGACATTTTTAACTAGTTCAACATAATTTGAAATTGTTTCAGTTTATGTATGTCAAAACCAGACAGTTATAGGGCTTTGTTTATACTCACCGTATCCAGTGTACTCACATACGACTTGCTATATGGCTGAAACAATGTCGATGCAACGTTAAATATCAAATTTAAACTCACTCACTCACATACGTCATGTTTCATGGGGTCGCAGATGGCCCAGTCGACTCAGGCGCCACAATCGGCTGTGCACAGCGACATCCTTGGGCAAACCACAAGTTTATGATCGTGGGCTCAAATCCCTGTCCTCTCCAGTTACTGGCAGTTAGGTTGCTAGGTTTGTCATACTGGTGTCATGGGTTTCATCAAAGTGGCGGACATCCAAGGCCTGTATCTTTTGGGGATTTCCTTCCACATCAAGCTGATGCACAGTGATGTAATGCTAAAACTGTTCAAAGCCGTGTAAAATCCACTCATATTTCCATACGGAACACCTACCAGAGAAGACTGTGTTGATCTGTAGTTTTTTACCTCCAGCTTGTGTACGATTGTCCTTGTTCATGTTACTGTACACTCACTCACTCTGTCATGAATAGTTTCATTATTCTTGTTGCTCGTGACCAATCAAAGGTTCAAAGATCTGACCTTCACCTTCATCAGGCTGGACAAGGTTTCATCTTTTAACCAGCTAGTGTGTCGTTGTGATCATGTATGTTGTAACAGAGACCATATAATAAAGGGACAGCCCTCGAGACAATGCACAAAACCATCAGCACTATGGCTTGTTCTTATTACATGGGGGCGGTGGGGTAGCGTAGTGGTTAAAGCGTTTGTTCATAACGCCGAAGACCCGGGTTCGATTCCCCACATGGGTACAATATGTGAAGCCCATTTCTGGTGTCCCCTGCCGTGATATAGCTGGAATATTGCTAAAAGCGGCGTAAACTAAAATTCACTCACTCACTCTTATTACATGGTCTCTGGTAGTAATGATAATATGTGTTATCATCATGATCATCATGATCATCATTAACATAGAAATGAAAACCAGTGTTAAGAATTTACCTGTGTTATTGTCATTATCATGATCTTAGTGAGAACTAGTTTTATATTCTCATGATCGTGAACATAGCAAGGATAACTTAAGCTATCATCGACATGACCATGGTGAGAACTAGTGTTATCTTATCCCGTCCCATCTTATCCAGTATCCATACATTGCACCAGATTATATTTCAGTAACCCACCGAAATACTGCTCATTTTACGTGAATATTAAACCATGCTGTTAGGAAACTAGTTTTAATATCATTCATACTTTGTTATTGAACACAAGGAGACGATTGTTCTCATCTGTTCCGTCCTCAACTCGAGCGTTACTTAACTTTTTGCTCGTTTTGTGAATCACATACAGTGATCAAAATAATAACTCAACCAGACAGTCAGGCAGGCCATTACTTCGATCACTGATCACATGCTCTTCATGCTCTTCATGCTCTGTATGTGTTGACAGAACATTAGTAGTGGACTTGTTATCATTGCTTGAGGGCGCTGGGGTAGCCCAGTAGTTAAAGTGTTAGTTTGTCTCACTGAAGACCTGGGTTCAGTTCCCCACTTGGGCACAGTGTGATGCCCATTTCTTGTATCCCTTGCCATGACATTGCTGGAATATTGCTAAAAGCTGCTTAAAACCATACTCACTCACTCATTCATTCACTCACACATTGTTGGAGGAATATGTCCCTTGTACACGTCAGGAGTTTACTTGAAACAAATTAAAAATACTTCCATTATCAGGAAGAAAATACCATTTTTGATAGAAAGTGGTTAATATTGGGTGAATGTGCGGAAAAAGTGAGCTTTAGGGGATCAGTTGACTGGTTATAGGACAGTTTGTGTCTGTTCCTGCCTGACTAAATGTCAGAATATATTTTGTAGGTTTGTTTTTGTTCTTGCCATGTTTTCAGTTATTTCTATTTATTGATATACCTGACTGTAGACAGTATCATAGAGATTATACAGATGTAGCTTTATGTCATCATTGAAACATTGAGGATGATCAAACTTTGACAACTCTCCCCCGGTTGTCAGTACTGATATCCTGTGATTGACTTACATGTAAAACATTTTGATTTTATTTGTTAATTTTGTACATGGGTCTAACAAGGCACCTGCACACATATCACTGGTTCAGACTTGTGCAGATATTGCTGTATACCATCAGTCAGGAAGAACCGTGCAGATTGATTTGAGAAGACACTACAGTCCGTTTAAGTCAAAATCTCCCCAATGAATTGCACTCCAATTCAAATAATCATAAATGACTCAAACCAACACCAAAGTAAAAAGGAAAAACACACCAACTCTGCAGAATTTTGTCACAATTTTTGTCTACAAAATAAAAAGTTGTTTAACAAACTATCATTGTTTTCATTAGCTATATCATGATTTTTGACAAGATGTTGCGACAGCTCAGGTAACAGGCAGGTAAGCGAGTCATTTACGATTATTTGTTTTGGAGTGACAGTGCAATTCATTGGATAGATTTTGACTCAAACAAACTTTACCATGAGATAGAAATTGTCTCTCTCATATGAATAAATTATAATAAATATGGAGCCTTTTGTAAGCAGGAATAATGAATACATTACTCCTCTGGGACCCTGTGGAAGTATGTGTGCCTTGTTCACCATGGTTGTGTACTACCAACAACTGTTGTTTGTTCAATAAAGTAGGGTTTGTATATACTGCCATTTACATCCAAATCCTGATGTTTACAAACTAATGAGAAATTACAAAGCTTTATCTCATTTATTTCAATATTTATGTAAATGTAATGATTTATTTATTTATTGTCATTGACACTGCTGCTGAATTAACAGTTGCCACGGCAAAGGTGACCTTCACCTCTTGGCTTCATTTTCTACCATCTGGAATAGGGAATCCTAATGTCTCATAACCAACTCAACTTTCATTGGTCTTCAATAGGTATTTAGAAGTTGGTTGCAACTTTTTACATCTTCATCAGTTGTATTTATTCATGTAGTTCATTCTAAACTGGCATTTTTCATACATATCCTCAACATTGATTGGAGCAGAAGCTTTCAATGCCCAAAGAACAGTCATGAGAAAGAACTTACACCTGGTATTGGGTGAATGTGTGGAAAAAGTGAGCTTTAGGGGATCAGTTGACTGGTTATAGGACAGTTTGTGTCTGTTCCTGTGTCAGAATATATTTTGTAGGTTTGTTTTGTTCTTGCCATGTTTTCAGTTATTTCTATTTATTGGATATACCTGACTGTAGGCAGTATCATAGAGAATATACAGATGTAGTTTTATATCATCATTGAAACATTGAGGATGATCAAACTTTGACAATTAGGATGTCAGTACTTACACCTGATATTTTAAAAATTATTACATTTTTGTTGGAAAACCGATTTTCCGTTCAAACCTCTGCCATCTCCATCATTGGACACTATGTGAATCACTGAAGTCTTTCAAGGGGACGATGTTGATGTGGTTTGGTAAGGGGGTTGTTGAGGGGAGTGGTTGTAATTGTTGATTATTGTAGTTATTTTCTTTCTAGGTCATACGATGTCCAAGGATTTTATAATGTCAATATTCGGACTTGTGATATATGACGATGTAATTTGTCAGTATTCAAGCCGTCTCATCAGTCCTTAGATATTACTTGTGAATCTCGTCTAAATCAGATCTTGTATTGTCCTAAAATACCTTTCTATGTGAAGAGCTGCAGGTGAAGCCAGAGAGTTTGTTAAATACAAAATCCTAAATGAAGGATTCTATGTCTCTTTAGCCAAGCAGATGTCAGCTTCCCAAAGGATTGAGGTTCATTTCTTACTGGTTTGATTCAGAAATTTTAATAGCAACAAAAGTTAATCTTAATATCCTTTATGGCACTTTGGGTGTAGATGTCATTCTGCTGATATTATATTTTACAAAATTCACAAATAAATAATAGCACATCTTTTATTTGACATTTTTTAACTCCCCAGTTTTGTGATACAGAATTCAGAATTACTGCTTTAAATCTTTCCTCATCATTTGCACAGAAGGGTTGCAAGATGTTCACATGTCTTTTCAGAGTGAAAGATTTCCAGCAGATTGTTTCAAAAATTTACAATCATATAACGGCCTGTCATTAGTGTTTACATTCAGAACTGGCTGATTAGGTTTGTTTTCAGATACTTTACTAAATGTTTCAGGGGCAGTGGGGTAGTCTCATGATTAAAGCGTTCGCTTGTCGTGTCAAAGATCCAGGTTCACTTCCCCACATGGGTACAATGTGTGAAGCCCATTTATGGTATCCCCTGATATTTCTGGAATATTGCGTGACAGAGTGTATGGGGTCCACAACAGACATTGGCTGATATTAGAAAATTCACCTGGCAAGACCGATGGGTTTTTGGATGGTTATGCTGTGGTACTATTTCAGAGTAGAAGAATCAAATTTTACCAGGATCAAATACCATGTTGTACTTTTAGAACAGTGGTTGTTAGATGTATGTTAATCATATTACGAAGGGTGTGTGGTAATGTTAAAATGCGGATATGAAAACCTATGATGGTGCTTCACATGAATGAACTGGAATAATTGTGTATGCTTGTGTTTTATTTATTTAGAATGCCAGTTGTTTAAACTGATTAACCTGTGTCTGTTTTACAAGACAAATCTTATGGATATGTCCATTTCTGGTAAACACATTATTTGGGTCTATGCGATTATTGGGACACTTACGGAAACCCTTGTGAAGAAAAAGTGTTTAAATTGATTTATATGTGTCTCCATAATTGTTTTTCATTTCACCCAATAAACTGATTACCTGTCTGCTGAAGATGATAAAGAATTTTAGACAATTTTTATTCAGTTTATCAAGCACCTGCTGAGTTATGTTGCCACAGTATCAAAAGTTTGGTTATTTTATTAATTGACATTTTTAATGTAATTAGCATGCATGTAATTATAATATTTCAGTCAGATCATTTGTCTAGGAAGTTTAACTTTCAAGTATAGACTTGACTTTTTGGGGTGAAGACCCCAGTGTTATGCAATGTTGCATTTGTTTGGTCAGATTTGAAATGGAATCTGTTATAGAATAGATTGTAAAAAGATTTAATATACAATAAAACCCAATTCACAGCATGAAATGTGTTGTGTTTTATGAAACAAGGAACTCCTACAGCAAGTGCAGGACACATCTGGGGTGAGGTTGGGTCGTATCGTTTCACTATGTGAATGCATGTTTTAGCATTTGTCACTAGGAGCAGTAACAATCTGAAACTAGCATGTTGTGGACTTATATAATAATGAGTGGTGTGTAAAATGTACACGTTTCATAATTCTCAATAATTAGGGTTCCTGTCTTTGAGCACCATATG